TATTTAAATTATATATATATATATATATATATATATATATATATATATATATATATATATATATATATATATATATATATATATATATATATATATATATATATATATATATATATATATATATATATATATATATATATATATATATATATATATATATATATATATATATATATATATATATATATATATATATATATATATATATATATATATATATATATATATATATATATATATATATATATATATATATATATATATATATATATATATATATATATATATATATATATATATATATATATATATATATATATATATATATATATATATATATATATATATATATATGAATTGAGTCAAAAATAGACAAGTGGGTGAACATGATCCTTTCAGATTTCTTATGCGCAAAATAATAAAGATTTTTTGCAACAAAAAAAAAAGACATTGAAAAATCCGCGGTAATTTAATTTCCTCTTGGTAAAGTACATTGTTAATAAGCAACAATTTAGGGGTGTTCACCGTTTGAATAAAAACCGAATCAAATCGAAAAAGTGAACCAAATCGATAAAATAAACTGATTTTATTTGGGTTTTGGTTTGGTTTTAGATTTTAAAAAACTGATAGTATTTGGTTTGGTTATGATTTTGTTCGAATAAATAACCGAACCGAACCTAACCGATAAATTATATACATATATTTTATCATTATACATACTTAATATATTATTTTTATAAACAATTTTAAATATCTTATTTATGTTTTCATTAAAATTTCTTTATAATTTACTTATTGAAAGCAAAAATGCCCAAGGTGAAAACATTTATCTTATTGATTTCATGTATATGTGTGTCTATGACAATTATTTGTGGGACTCAAAATGTTGTTGTCTCTTCCTTCTAGGCCAAAATAGTAAATTTTAAAGCTTTATTCATAGTAAATTTAGTGATAGAAAGTTCGGTATTATCACTCATTTTAACTATTTTTCATTTTGAATGGATTGTAGTTACTTTTTTCACGTTTTGAATGAATTATTTCTTTTATTTTTGTGTATGGTTAATAACCGAATAACCGAACCAAACCAATATGTCTATTATATTTGGTTTGGTTTGGTTTTGATATTTTTAAAACCGAGTAAGTTGGTTTGGTTTTAGTTTTGGCCAATAACTGATCCAAACCAACCCGTGAACACCCCTAAGCAACATATATCACTAATGCTATATTTTTATAATAAAAAAAAATAATAAATAATAATAATGTGGATGGTGAATAAGCCTAATCATAGTTAGATCTAATGTCATTTTCATAATTTGCATGAGAGTAGTTCTATCGTTGATATATTTATATATTTATTAAAGGCGTTAGTAAGTACTCCGTATATATCACAAATTGACAAAGTAGAAAATTATTTATTAATTTCAAATTGATGTTTGATATGTGAAAAAGGCTTTTCGTAGAAATTTTTTGCTTATAATATGAATATAAATAAAATTAGATTTGTCATTTTAGAATCAGTCAAAAAAGATGATTATATGAAATATTCTTATGACTTACATCAACTTTATTAACTAACTAATTTATTAATTCTCACTCATCTTTGGTTCCCTATTAGGTGAATAATATTAGACGTACATGATTTCGTTGTAACGTTCGTTACAGGAGGATTTAAAGTAAAGAAAATACTAATTTTGAAGGCGTTGATTTTATTCATATGATCAATATATCTACTTCTTCTTATATAACTAAGTAGGTAGACTCCAAGTGTGTTTGGTATGAACAAATTTTTTTTCATTGAGAAATGTATTTCTTAGTTAGATAATAAAAGATTGTTTTACTTATTTTTAGTTGTTTGGATAAGTAAACAAAGATATTAGTTATCATAAGAAGTAATATTTTTTAGGGATAAGGGTTTGAAAAATACCTCAAGTTTGATCGAATTTGCTGTTGCGATACTAAACTTTCATGAGGACCTATTACCTCCCTAGACTATTTAATACCGTATTTTAAACATATATATTTGCTCACGTGGACATAAAAAATAATGCAAAATTATAAATAGTAATGTGTCCACGTGGCACATATATACCTTTAAAATACACTATTAAATAGTTCAGGGGGTAAAAAATACGGTATTAAATAGTCTAGGGAGGTAATAGGTCCTCATGAAAGTTTAGTATCGCAACAGCAAATACGACCAAAGTTGGGATATAATTCAGACATTTATCCCTAAATTATAAAATCAAATCTTTCCAACTTCGTAACTTAATATACTCATGTGATTTAGAATAATTGTTCTACTCGTTTGAGTTGTTTCAAGAAGTCAGATGTTTTTCTCGAATCAAAATGTTTAATAATGTGTTTGATTATATTTACTTGTCAGGTTTATATGAAATATTTATTCTCACATAATATAATACCAATTAGTAGAGCAATTTAGAAATATTAATTAAACTTATATATCAAAAACATTATGTACAAATGACAATAGATTATCATATATATCACCATATAAAGAAGAGCAATTTCAGATTTCCTCATCAAAATGGGGAAAATTACATTCTCTATATATGTCATTTTTCTTAATTTTCCAAATTTGAACTAATCTAGTAGATATTACTACTACTATCATTAATTGCATCTGGGTCCACTTTGCTTCTCCAGATTGTCATATAGGCCCCTACAAAATTAAAAAAGTAGAAAACAGTACCCATTACTTATGCTATTATCACTTTCATATTCATATGTTATATATTTTGCAATTTTATCAACAAAGATTGTTGAGTCTCCAATCCAGTCTAACTTCATTGGGTCCCACAAAATGCTGACTTGGCTTGTTGAATACGATGACGTGGCTGTTGACCATAAACCTTATAATTTATTAGGAAATCGTTATGACTTCGTAAAGGTAAGACACTACAATAAAAAATTTTAGTGGAAATCAATTTTATTTTTAATAACTACTCCTATATATTTATTGTCGCAAAAATATTTAACAATAATTGAGTTAATATCATTACATCATACGTCATTAAAATATTTAATGACATTTATATAGAATGATGATTATGAATACCTAATATTTGCGCACCTTATATAAGAACAATGTTTTCGTGTTCTTTATTTGTTTATTCAAGTTAGGTTGGTTTAGTTAGAGTAATTGGTAGAAGTATTTTTTTAATACACCTTTTATAAGATTTACTATTATTACTTGTTAAAAGAAGTTAAACATTACTTTATTCTCCTTTCACACTACCTACTAATTATATATTAATTAAAATAAAAAAAACATATGAAATTTTATACTAATTAATCAAAAGTTGAAACACAAAAAATGGTCTTTACTTTTCTCAAATATCTAACTAAAAAGATGTTGGTGGAGATCACCTTAACTTATAATCTAATAATTCCGATAAGAGTTTTTCACATAACAGGTGTGAGTTCATTTTCTTCTATAAGTTTCTCTTTGGCTTAATATTTCTAAATGTCAATTCACAATTTTACATTATGTCTTACTTTCATTTTAAAGTATTCATATTAGAGTCCGATTAATTCTGATTCACGCCACCCGTTTGAGGTAAAATGCTTCCTATCAACGATTTTTTTTCATACCTAAGACCTCTGACATCACGACCTCAGAAATTGTTGGAAGTTTTGACAAATAGTGGATCCCACACCCAAGTTCCATTTTAGCCAAAATCCATAAGGTGGCTCAGAATGAGTCCAGAAGCCTCGGGATCCGCACAAAAGGTCCTTCTAACCCAAACTCTCGCTTTTCTAAACTTTTGATCGAAATCAACCATTCAAGTTTTAAAAACTCCCAAAACACGGAAACTTACACAAAACTCAAGAAAACAACCAAGCACATCTAGTTATTGTTATGCAATCTGAATTAAAAAACAATACTAATGATAACATTAACTTTACAGAAACATAAACAACAAAGTTTAAATCATGTAGTGAAAAATAAAATTAATAACTTCAACAGAAATTAATGACTATAAAACATATCAAAAGTCGTCAGTCTCAACAAGTCATAAATGACTTGGGGTCACTACAAGAAAGCTCTAAACGCTGAAAAGATTGGAAAACAAAGGAAATGGCCTGGAAGGTCATTACATCTGATTAAGGGAAGATCAGCCTTATCCATTGCACCACATCCTTTGATGATGTTTTTGTATGTTATAAATGCCTCTAATTTTTAAAATACAAGATTAAAATTCTTTTCTTTAGAATGCAATAGTAAAAACAATTGAAAACCGTTTATGAGGGAGAGAGTAGATTTTTGTCCAAAAAAAAAAGTTTGTATGGGCCTTACTTAGCAAAGCCCAATCCAGTTGGCAAGAGCTAAAAGCTCATAATAATTAAGAAAGTATTAATTTATTAAATTAATCTTATTAATTACGTATTATAAATTTAAGTACTTATTGATTACTTATATTTTATGTAATTATTTAATGATAACAGTAATATTGGATGAAAATGATTAATCTCTTTTGATTTTCTAAGATAAACAAATAAAAAAGGGATAATCTATTTTTAGTATAAAGAAAAAATGAAAATCTATAGTCTCAATTCACCATTGACTCAACATAAATCAATTTATCTGATATCCAAATCAGATAACGAACATCGAGTAAAAACACAAAAAAATATTTTAAAAATAGTACTACGAATTTAGCACGTCATAAATTTTACCCTTTTTATCTTGCTGATTTAGACAGAACATGTCCTATTCTTAACATTTGCCACAAATGTCTAGCAGCAGTCAATTTCATATAATATGGAGTAATATATACATTTCTGCAACTCTTTAACTGAAAAACCTAACTGCTGCTACTATTACTAGTTTTTCTTTTCATCAAAAAAAAGTTTTTAAGTTAGAAATTAATTTAATATTTTAATATATACATTAAAAGATATTTTAAAGTTATAAAATATTAATATTAAGATATTAGGAAACAGTATGAAAAATAATAGTATAAGTTAAAAACTTCTTATATCAATATGGTAAAGAAATACACGTCAAAAATAAAAGATAACAAATATTTTGAGATAAATAGAGCGTAAATCTTGAAATGAGATGGTAAATTCAATAATTTTGCTAGTTTTTAAGGTGTTACAACAGTGGTTGATTGTCCCTTTGATGACATCCAATAATAAAAAAGTATAGTGATAAATTCAAATTTTCAAATTTGTTATAAATTTTCGTGAATTAAGATGTACATAAACTCTATTTATATTAGTGTTTTTTACACGCAAAATTCAACTAAGTACTACATTCTATTGAACTCACAAACATAATAACAATATACTCAGTAAATCTCAAAAGTGAGATCTAGAAAGATCGAGTATACTTGAATATTATACTCTCAAACACATAATTTTACTTGGCATGATACACAAACGTGCTCTTTAACTTGAATTCATATGATAATAACCTCAGACTTTGGATATGCACAAACAGACACTTAAACTTATATAAAGTTAAACGAGTAAATATGTGTCCACTTGGCGTCTTATGTGTCCATTCACATCCTACATGACATCCTACATACATTATACCACGTAAAATGTGTGTCTACTTATTCAATTTTATACCAATCTAAGTGTTTACTTATTTAAAACACATATTTTATGCCATTTAAATTTGCCACTAACTTAGAGGTGACATTTGAGGTCTTGTGGTGGCAATTGTCAAAAGCATAGTAGTCTAGTATATAGTTAAAAGAAAAAAAAACATAAATAGCATCTCATTCATTGTCCCATTAAATTCACATATTTCAAGTGCCTTTCATTGAAGGTTATAAAATATCATGTATATAGTACTATTACTACTTTTTTTCTCCATTAAAAATCATCAACAATATCCTTTTCTCCACAAAAGTACTACACATGTAACCCACTACTACCAATACTCCCAACTTCAAAAGAAAAAAAGAAGCCAAAGCATTACCTTTAAACTTCACATGTCAATGTTCTTCAAAAATATAAATTATATATATATATATAAAAAAAAAAGGACCAAAGTAAAGTAAAAGAACTAGCTATCAACACAATGATACATCATATGATTAATTTTGATTAAATTTTTCCAAATTTATCATCACCTTCTTGTAACACCTTGCTTGGCTTTGTAATCGAATCGCAAAGTTAGAATTTAAAGTTTATAATATATTTCCACCATCACAATCATCGTTACTTTAGCGTGTCATTGAGTCAGAATTTAAAGTTCATAATATTCTATTCTGAAGCCTCCACCACCACAATTACCGTATACTTTTGGCCCGCCATTGAGTCAGAATTTAAAGTTTATAATATTCTGAAACTTCCTTTACCACCACAACTACCACCTACTTTGGCTCGGTATCGAGTCAGAATTTGAAGTTTATATATTCTATCTCCGCCCTTGACCGGAAC